TCAGCTTCTGAAACATGGAGTCAGATCCTCGTCTCTTCCCTCATCCTCAGACCCCTGTGAGCACCATCACAAGCTGGGGAAATCCATTTGTTGAACTGGCACAGAACTGGATTTCAGGGCGTTAAAGCCGCTGTTGCAACACTTTTTCCTGTTTGGATTCATAAGGAACAGAGCAGGGAAAAGCTCAGATTGTACTGGAATGCTCCTCCCAGGGAGGTGGAACAATCACCAGCTCTGGATGTGTTTAAAAAAAAGACTGGACATGGTGCTACAGTCCAGCTGAGGTGTTAGGGCATAAGTTGGACTTTATGATCTTAGAGATCTCTTCCAGTCTCATGATTCTGTGATTGATTCTGTGATTCTCTAATTCTGTGACTGATTCTGTGATTCTGTAATTGATTCTGTGATTGATTCTGTAATTCTGTGATTCTGTAATTGATTCTGTGATTGATTCTGTAATTCTGTGATTGATTCTGTGATTGATTGTGATTGATTGTGATTGATTCTGTGATTGTGTAATTCTGTGATTGATTCTGTGATTCAGTGATTGATTCAGTGATTGATTCTGTAATTCTGTGATTCTGTAATTGATTCTGTGATTGATTCTGATTGATTCTGTGATTGATTCTGCAATTCTGTGATTGATTGTGATTGATTGTGATTGATTCTGTGATTCTGTAATTCTGTGATTGATTCTGTGATTGTGATTGATTCTGTGATTGTGTAATTCTGTGATTGATTCTGTAATTCTGTGATTGATTCTGTGATTGATTCTGTAATTCTGTGATTGATTCTGTGATTCTGTGATTGAATGTGATTGATTGTGATTGATTCTGTGATACTGTAATTCTGTGATTGATTCTGTGATTGATTCTGTGATAATTCTGTGATTCTGTGATTGTGTAATTCTGTGATTGATTCTGTAATTCTGTAATTGATTCTGTGATTCTGTGATCGATTCTGTAATTCTGTGATTGATTCTGTGATTGATTCTGTAATTCTGTGATTGATTCTGTAATTCTGTGATTCTGTAATTCTGTGACTGATTCTGTGATTGATTCTGTGATTGATTCTGTGATTGATTCTGTAATTCTGTGATTGATTCTGATTGATTCTGTGATTGATTCTGTAATTCTGTGATTGATTCTGTGATTGATTCTGATTGATTCTGTGATTCTGTAATTGATTCTGTAATTCTGTGATTGA